TTCATTCGAATTCGCAGTTGAAAAAAAATTTCGAAATATTTCCAAATATTTTCGATGCCCAAGATTGCAAATGAATTTTTGCACGAATGTTTTTTGCTAACCATCCAAACTTGTAATGAATGCCCCCATTATGTTATTATTTTGATGGAATTTTTAACCAGATACTCCAACATTTGAACTTTCTCTGGGTGCCAAAATTATGAAGCTATTCATTCAAGTTGCTGAAATTTCGGGGTTCTCGTTCGTAATCCTTCAGCTGATCTTGTTGCAATGCGTGCCTTGCACGGCGCCCTTCATCTTCTCCATGTTTCCTAACTGTGGAGAAATGGCGGACAAGACAAGCTGGATGCTGATGTTGGCCGTACACATTTTCGAGACTTGGATGTGTCTCCAGATGATATTCGGATGTACGGTGTACATATTCTACCTTCTTTGTGCTGGGATAATCTGTATCTTGTTCTACTTCAGGATCATTGAAAAGTAAGGATAGAGGAGAAATACACTCTTGGAAATTCGGTATTAAAATAATACCAAGCGGTATTCATATATGTATTAATGACTCTACCAAAGTGATACTAACAAGTTATACCATGTATGTACACTGCAAATAAACTGGTGTCAATTCCGCGCGGTGTAGTCACATATAGACACCACGCGGTGTTAATTGCCCGTATTAACACCGCGTGGTGTCTATATGTGACTACACCGCGCGGAATTGACACCAGTTTATTTGCAGTGTAGTGACAGCTCGATATTAAAGTTTTACAATATCGGTAGCAAACTTTCACGGACCGGTATAATTTTAGTACCAAGCGGTAGCAATATTAATAGGGAAATATCAATACTTGCGTGACTAGATTCTTAGAATTTTTATGAGGTCGTCAGATTAAATAGATGTGCCAAAAATTCTGTTTTCTAATCTGGAATACCTATGCTAATTTTCTTGAATTAGCAATAACAATCTTTTTTTTTTGAGGAGTTTTATTATTTCTAAAGTCCTTGTTTAAATAATTTAATTACTAAAGTTTGGTTACTACATACACACTTGAACAAAAATATATATTTTTTCCATTATAGTAAAATTTCTACCCTGCAAAGCGACCAAGATACAAAGAAATGCATCAATCTCTATCGGTGTATTCAAATCCTGGAGAAATTCTTCAACGCCTACCCGATGAACAAGGTCATTCCCGTGATGGTTTTTGGCATCCCCACCATGGAAATAATCAGCCTCTTCATCTCCATCAATTTCTACGACAAAATAGCCATGCCTGGTTTCCTGCTATTTCCACTACTCGGATTAAACACGCCGCTGAATAACATTTGTGTCCTGACCATGGCATCGCTAGTCCATAACTCATCCGACAAGATATTGGGCGTTTTAAAGAAGAAAATAATGGGGCTGACGTGTCACAGTGGGCGGAAAAGATCGATAATTAATCGAGAACTGAGAGCCTGTTCAGTCCTGAAGGTTAAGTTTGGATCAAACTACATCGACCGTGGGACACCATTAGTTATACAGAATTTCTGTCTTAATCAAACCATGTCGCTTACGTTGGTCAAGGCAAATAAAATGGCTGGGTGAGGATAAAATGTGGGGATTTTATAAATATATGTATTGCGTAGTTGTTTATGAAACCTAGAATAGTACACTACTACATATTCGTAATTACGTTGGGAAATAGAATCTAATCTGTGATCTTGATCAATTCAGAATAAATACGTAGCTAATGTAAATACATGTATTCTGTATACATTCGCTCTTAAGAATATTGGTTCGGTGGTATGTATGTATAATTAAATGTGCACTCTGAAACCCTTTGGAACAGGAAACACATTCTAAATTCTAGGTGCATCCCCTTAAAGTATCTCCTTAATAAACTAGTTTATTCTTCGTGCTTCCACAAATATGAACGACACCATATCTGTTAAATTCTATTTTGCATTATAAAATTGTGAATAGTATTCCTCACATACATATGTATCATAAATGAACTTTCACTTATTTAGGAAATCTGTACTTAGCAAATAATTTGGTATACGTCAAAATACGTATTTCCCCACTAGAAACCAAAGGTTGTCTATGCAATTTAATTAATTTTTCCAATCACGCAGTTCGGACTGTAACTGACATCACCGCAGTAATTGTGTAGTAAACCATCGCCGATAATAAAGTAGTTTCCGTTGATTTCTTGCAAATATAAAAGTTATGCTGCATCAATCCCCCATAAATTCCGATGGGTTTCGTAGCCCTTATTTTCCGTACGATATACCTCTTAACTTTACACCTCAGTAACAAGTATTTCCACCTGCGCGATAAGTCCTTCGTCCCTTCAAAAATTGCGACCGGAAGCGGCATCATGATCATTGCAATGGTCGGGAGTAGTACGCCAAATGTGGGAAAAATCACATAAAGAGGGAAATGGATGACGCGATACATTTTTTAAGGCAACAAAGTTACACAAAACGGTGCCCAGAAATCTGACAAACATGACCAGCGCGATCATCGGGTTAATAAAGATGTATGATGAAGTAATGGCAATTTCAAAGGCGCTAAATCTAGCGAAATATTCATCTATCGTAAGCCCGCCCCAGAACGTAATACGGATCGATCTTTTCTTTAAGTAAGTTACGCAATTGATTAATAGGTGAAAGGCCAAAGTCATGAAGCAAATTAGCCACGAAAACATCCGCGCCATTTCATAAGATGTCCCCAAAACTGATAAACGTAGCGGGATGGCCGCCAGGTTAAACATAGGGCGCCAATTTGCTTCGTTTATGAGATAAATTTGAATGCAAATGACTGGGTCCAGCTGTAAATAAAGGCAGCATGGGCCAACAATTAAGGGAAGCAAGACGTGCGAGGCGACATGGACGTTCAGCATAATTCCCACTATATCGAAGTGTGATGTAAATCATATAAATTGATACAAATTTTAGTCAAATTTCAGAATGGGTGGGTGCAGTATGTGTATGTACATTAGTAAAAATATCTATGTACGTACATTGTGCCGAAGCTGGGCTAAGATTTGTCAAAATTTCCAAAGCGCAGATCAACAGTGTCAAAAACATTTTGGAAAACAAGTCTAATGTTGTAAATAGTTTGCTTCAAGTGTGAATTTCTTAATTGGGGGTTTGCATTTTATATTCCGCCGGATAATTGAGCAGCAGAAATTGCAAATATGTGTGTACATAGCTCCAGGAATTTCGATTGACGTGGGAAGAGCTGGAATTATGTTCTTTACAATTTTATGTATTATTCGAACCTGACTTACATATGTATTTAATGCTTGTATTCGATGGTAAACAGTTTATTGCATTACTTAACAATTTTTTGGAATTTCGAGATTTGTGTACATATAAATCGACAATTGAATTAGTACAATAGGCACATATGTCGTTATATCAATATTAGCAAGGGAACATACCGAGGTGTCCAACGAGTTAAGGGTCGACACCTATACCAAAATGACCACAATACATTACTTATTAAACAAACTGAAGGAATTTCCGTGTAAAATTCACTTTTCGTCAAGTTGTGACGATATTTGTGACGAGCGCATGACCATCGGGTTGGCAGCGGGAGAGGTCGGCCGCTGAACGATCAGGTCGACCACAGAGAAGCGTCGTCGTCTTCGGAGATTTCAAATTTTGAAAACAACTTGAAATTTTGAAAAAATTTTGAGAAAATTTTGAAAATTTGAGAAAATTTTGAAATTTTGAGAAAATTTTGAAATTTTGAAATTTTGAGAAATTTCAATTTTTTTTCAAAATTTCAAGTGGTTTTCAAAATTTGATAGAATTTGAAATCTCTGAAGACGACGTGAAGACGACGACGCTTCTTTGTGTTCGACGTGATCGTTCAGCGGCCGACCTCTCCCTCTCTGGCAACCCGATGGTCATGCGCTCGTCACAAATATCGTCACAACTTGACGAAAAGTGAATTTTACACGGAAATTCCTTCAGTTTGTTTAATAAGTCATGTATTGTGGTCATTTTGGTATAGGTGTCGACCCTTAACTCGTTGGACACCTCGGTATGTTTCCTTGTAAGCTGTATTGGGAATTAAGTGTAAGCACAGACATTTAAAAGTTTGCTTAGCTAGTTTGTATTACTTTATATTTGTATTTCGGTACAAAATGCGATCAAAGTTGGAAGCCTTTTGTTGGAATTGTCTAAATATTTATTATGTAACGGTTGTTTCCACCACAAAATTCTTAGAATGTGGTATGCAAATGTTAAGTGAAAAGTAAATTTTGAATAATTGTTCAATATTTATTAATGTGCATTAGTTCAATTAGTGCCCGGAATTCTTAGGATAATTTTGAATATCTAGATTCGAATGGGTTAACCTTGATTATCTTACTTCGATTAAGTGCTTAGATACATGATCAGATGCAAGACACATGTATGTACATATCTGTATATACTTATTTTTCCTCAAAGGGCCAATTCAATGGAATGATAAGCGCCAAATGATTCCTAATTTTTGGATATAACTCGTTAGGCAATCCCGGTGTAGCTTGAAAAAAGGTTCGATTGTCAGTTACTCAAATATATTTTCCCCGCATCTACCCCATGCTCCCTCAGCATCCTCGCGAAAGAGCAAGAATACCTGTTTTAAAAAAATTCCGCGCCGTTCTTTCAACTTCGAATTTATTGCACATCTAAAAAATTGCATACAAATTCATGCATCATTTTTCCAGTAGCCCCGTCACTTTGGGAAACAAATGATAGCTTGATAGAACATCTCACGTGAAAATAAAGTTCAAAAATTGTCAACTTTGACACAATTGAATAATCTGAAACCGATCATTATTTAGATCTACTGTGTAAATTAAACTAGAATGTAGTGGTAGACATTTAATAGTATATATGTATTAATGCGTACATGTATATAACATAATCTATCCAAGAATTAAATGCATATTATATCATTTTGACTATATCTGGCAAAGTTATATATCTGTATATGCACAAATTTATGTAATCGTCAGTAATTTTGCAGTGCTGAGTACTATTATTTTTTATTTATTCCCACGATTGTTTTACATAAAGTCTGTCAGGATTATGTATGATACTATCAGAATTATTAAAATATAATTGGGAATTACAGTTTCATTATAAATAACACGACAAATGTGCTAAATTTATATTTTAATGCCAAATTTTATCTTTATCTCTATCCACACAAAACAAACATATTTTAAAACCTGTACGGATTATGTCGATTAGCACCTTCACATAACGGGGAGAACCAGTCATTTTCGCATGGCATGGAATACCAAAAAGTCTCACTTTCCCCGAAGGAACCATACGCCATCAAAGTTACGCACGTCTGAGGTGAATAAAAGAGGAACCGTTGTCCAAAATCGCCTAATTTCAGTTGTTCCCAAGAATCGTACCCGTCCCAGGTGAATTGGTCACGTGACACAGAATCCCGCGCTCCCATCCAAAATTCTATTTCAAAGCAAGTTTGAAATTGTCTTAACAATTAATTCAGAAATTCTCCACTTACGTCCAGTAAATGCTTCATTTTTAGTTTTCAAATCAAAAAAGTCCTGCTCGGCTTGCGTCTTTATTTCGCCCAGGCGCATTCCCCACTGCTCGCAGTATCGGCTAGCGGCAAACCAGTCCTAGGTAAAAGGGGAAAGTGAGATTTCTTACCTGGAAAATTATTTTAATAATTTCAGGCGTATTTTCTTGTGGGATTTACCATAAATAGTGTGCTGTTGTAGTAGTACGATTTCAAATCCACGGTGCCAAGCAGAACCGGAAAGACTGGAAAGTCTTGAGGAGGAGGGCCAGTTGCTGAAATATAAATCAAAAGATGAGAGGTTACATAGTCAAATTTTGGAAACATAAATTTTAAATTTCAGTGCATACTTTGTGCCGAAGCTGGACTAAAAATTGCAAAAATTTGCAAAGTGCAGATGAAAAGTAGTAGAGACATTGCGAAATGTATTTACAATACGACTACTGATAGGGAATTGGGCTATACAAGTGAATAGATAGCGATGCCTGTCGAGTTTTATATTCCACTGGGAATTCGGTGTACAATGGGGAAACAGAAATTGCAAATATACATCAATCCAGGAAATCTGGGGTGACGTGGGAAACTTGGAAATGTAGCTTCTAAGGATTTTATTGTGCACTATTATGTAAATATGTTGAGGTGATTATTATTATTTTCAGGGTGTGGTCAATACGTTATGATCGAGTAAATAAGTGAATTATCCAACAAATTCTGTGTAATCATGGAGCACCATCTGTACAAATATGTACGCTACCAAGTAGATACATATCTAAGGATAAATGGCATTAAGTAAATATTTAACATATCGATGTAATACCTAGTTTTAAAAATCTGGTTGCTGGTAATCGGTGTTGATTTTTCTTACTAAATTCTTAAAATTTAGCTAATTATATAGAGGTCAAACCTTATTGCACAGATTTTCGTCTCACCTTGGCATTTAACCAACATAAGACAATATGATTCTTATTTTTTCATATTTATATTTCCTGGTACCTGGTAGTAGCCTGAGGTAAAGTCGAGACTGGTGAAATATTTCTTGCCACGCAGGGACTGAAAAATATCATCAATGCGAGTTTGTGGCCACTGGATCTTTTTGGTAATACGGATAAGGGACCTGTAGTCTACCGTAAATCTTTGAGAGGTCAGGTTGCCGTCGTCATCCTTTTTCGGGACGAAAAAGCAAGGAGAGGACCATGACCCACGGATGGGACGTACAATTCCTTGGGCTAAAAGTTTGTCGACGTGACTTTTGATGTCTCTGTGAATCTTTTCTGGGTGATTAAATTGTTGCATTCTAATGGGAGGATGATCTCCGGTGTCAATATCGAATTCTACACGGTCGGTTCGCCCTAATTTGGTTGGGTCCCATGAAAAAATATGCTTAAATTCCGTGATCAGAGAAAGCAACTTGGCCCTCGTAGAAGGCGAAATGTTGGGATTGATTTTGAGTTTGGTCAGATCCATAAGAAAAGGTGGCGGTGAAAGTTCAGCTGCAGCTACCGGTGGTGGAGAAAGTGCGGCTGGTGGTGAAAGTAGGGCTGATGGTAATGGCGGTGGTGGTGGCCGTGAGGGCCCCGAGGCTGCTGGTGAACTTGTTAGGGATGGCAGAAGTGGTTGGGGTTTGGGGGGTTGTTCTGGTTGTGTCGCGGGAGTCCGCTGAGACGCATCAAGTAATTTCATGTCCATATTTCTGTTTAGTGATTGCATAATTTCTTTGTTATCGCAGGAATGGAATAATCGTTGCGGGGCGCTTGTATACGGGACGGAACCAAGGATAGGAGACATTAAACAGCGAAAGGATTCGTTGCTGGAGGAAATGTTCTTGAAAATCATGCCCAAGAAGAAGAGGACACGGTGATGAGGGGACGACGAAAAACGGGTATGTCACTTGTTTTGTGCCGATTTTGAGAGGTAGAATGACCAGGCCGCAATCTCTAATTGTATGATTGCCAAAATCCGACAGTCGGTAAGGTAAATTTGGGTTAATCCGGGGTAAACCAACAGCAAGGGTTTCTGTAATGATTGAGGCTTTGGCACCATTATCGACTGTTGCAGTGATTCGTTGATTATTGATAAAAGTGTCGATTGTTACTGGGCCATGATTGGCAGAGAAATCTTGTAGGTTGATGCGTAAGTCAATCGTATTTTGGTTAAAGGTGACATGTCGTGGTCCAGCAGGGTCAAGGGAGGGGGACGATGGACGTAGAATAGATTTTAAAGGCTTCAGGGATGGTGGGCAGATCAATCTGCCCAAAGCCGGGCGTTTCCCGACGGGGGCGGTGAACCGGGAGGGGTACGCGTTGAACGCTCATCCCACTGATGGTTTTCGCGTCGCGTGTTGTCACGATCCGTAGTATTATGATGGAAGTTGTCACGGCGACGGGGAGATTCATCATGGCGGCGTTGCTGAAAGTCTGAATTGCGACGCTGATCGCGGGGGGAGTCATCTCGGCGACGGTAGTCACGGTTGTCATTGCGACGGCGGTGGTCACGAGGAGAGTCGTCGCGGCGGCGGTTATCGCGGCGGTAGCCAGCACCGGAGGTATCGTTATTACGATACCCACCATTGCGACCACGCCCTCGGCCGTTAAGTTGAAGGCCATCATCACCACGCATTTTCTTGCGACACTCTATAATTCTATGTCCGCGGATGCCGCAGTAGTAACATTCAAATGAGGGGCGTTGTCCGTTAGGACGAGGCGCACGATTATCCTGGGACTGATCTGGGCGAGATCTTGAGCCGTGATTTTGGGAGGGCGACACATTAAGTCGCATGATAGAAGCTTGTAGATCGCTAAGGTGATTAAGCAGACCTTGCATATTCTTAACATTGGTCAAATTCACTCCGAGTGACAGTCCTCCGTCAGTTGCATAATTCACGGGCTTAGGCTGAGCCGTGGGCGGAGCTAGTGGGGTTACGGGGGCCTGGTGGAGGCCAGCGAATGCGTCGAGTCCAACAGATTGAGGGGGAGCGGTTGGGGAGATAATCGTTACGGGCGGTTGGAGTTGAGGGGTCAGTGTTTTCTGCAGGCCACGGTCTTCATAATGCTTCACAAGTGACACTAAGTCACCATAGGTCAAAGGAGGTCCTTTGCACTCGAGGAATTGACGTAGGGAAGGGTCCAAATTGTCCATAAGGAGTCGAATGATATCTGGTTCTGCATGGCGTGTGTATTCCTCAGACATTGCAGCGCGAAGTCGTTGCAAGTAGACCGATGCTTTCTCGAGCTCTGGTTTGGGGACTTTAAGAGGTCCAGGACGGACGTATGATCATCAACCTCCATTGGGCATTTGGTCAGAAAATTGTTAATAAAGGTAGCCCAGTCAATGGCTGGATTGTCTTGTTCCGCGAAATTGATCGTGAAATAATGTTGGGCAGTGGCATTGGAGAAAGCCAAGGGAAGAGTTAATTTGGCTTGAGGAACAGTTAAGCGTTTTGCTTCCGCCCAGCGCTGGAAACGCTGAATAAAAAGTCGAAGTCCGAGCTTGGATAGTTCATGTCCATATTTTGGCATTTCGAGATTAATATTAACCAGAGGAGCTGGTTGTGGAGGGCTACCGGTAAAAAAATTCCTCGCGGCCATGTTGGCGGTGGCAGCTGCTGGAGTGGGAGGAGGAACTGGAGGTCGGTTTGGCGGGGGCGGACGGATGAAGGGGGATGGAGAGGACGGAAACTGAAAAACTGCGTCTGGGTTTAATGCTCTTGGTCCGAAGAAAAATGTGTTGGCTGGGGGTGGAGGAGGAGGGTTCGGGGGACACGAAGGTTCCGGGGTTGGTACGAAGTTCACTGGCTGATTCTCGCGTATAAAAGTAACGGAAGGAGGACGTACCTGGTTGTTTAACAAATTATCATTTATATTTCCAGGGAGGATGCTCGACGCGGAATGATCTGGGTCAGGGGCCGAGGGGAGGTGCGACAGCGGAAGTGGATCACTATTGGTATCTCCAAAGTCATCAGTCACAACACCGCACTGAGAACTGTCTGTGGGGCTGACGATCTGGTGTTCACGGTCAGAGTCAGGGTCAATAGGGTCACGTAAATGGTCAAAACGTCGGCCAGAAACAAATACACTTTCGGGAGCTTCGAGCAGGTTTGACGGGGGAGGTGAGGGGTCAGTGCGTCGACTGAAAAAGTTCCAAAGGGGCATCGTCGTGGAAAAATTGCATTATGTTTGTCAGGAAAGGATGTGTACTTAATTTTGAATAAATTGTATAATTTGCACTTTAAGAGATTATGTATGTAAAAGTTAATTTCTTGGCAGTCAGAGGAGAAAAAGTACTCTGGAGGTCCACCAATGTTATGTATGTATGATTATACATAAATAAGTGGTACACAGTGAGAGGAGACAGAGGAGAGTATTTATTGGAAGAGAGTTAAAGCTGGAGTGATGTACAGATTCATAACTAATTACATATACATATCTATGTAGGCATACATATACCTAACAATGCCATACGAAACTAATATGTGGATCCATTCAAGCTACGATATGAAAATCATCATTTGTATTAACGCTCAATTTCTGTCTAATTTATTTCACCAACTAGTTATGTAAATTCCTCCGTAATTAGAACCGAATCGAACCGTTTTTCTGTTATTTAAAATCCCATCCAAACTATGTACATTGTACGGATTTATCTAACTGCGTATAAAATTGATTCACCTTAATTACCAGAATGTTATTTAGTATCGTGCCACAAAAGTAGGCACGTGGTGACCTTTTATACACGGGCATTCCGAACATAATTAATCCACGCATATCTTGATTCAAATTTTAATCTCGGCAATGAACGATCTACCTACGGCATTATCAGAGCATTTTAATTAAGATTACTGAAGAAATATTTAAATATATCCTGGAAAGAGGCAAGCATTAATTATCTTGCCAAATACGCAGTAAAACTTGGGATTGCGTTATTTATGTAAATACACGAGCCTTGCAAATACATATTTCGCATAACCAGTCACAAACGAACACCTGAAAAAAGAGTATTTCGGAACTAGTCAGATTTCATCCTTCTTTCAAAATGTTCCACTCCGATTTTCTTCCCATGCTTAAAAACAATCTCAGACTTTGCCAAATCTTGAAATGTGTTCCGTTCGAATTCGACTCCAAAACTGGGCGATTAATCAAAGCCAAGAGTTTCGGACATATTTTATTGTTTCGGGTACAATGCGTCCTCTCCGTGATGTACATTGCAGCCCTGTTTCTGAACCTTTGCTTCGGTCCGCTCACAACCACGGCAAAATTTCAAGGTTTCACCTTCTTCATGGTTTACTTCGTCGCATCCTGGATGAAATTTAATTATTCTTTGGATATGGCGGGAACTCAAGTGATTCATACATTCCTGGATTTTGAGAAGTATATCTTGAAGGGTAAGGTTGTAAATTTGGGGGATCGTGAACATTGGGGGAACTCATTTCGAGTTCGTATTTCATTCGAATTCGCAGTTGAAAAAAAATTTCGAAATATTTCCAAATATTTTCGATGCCCAAGATTGCAAATGAATTTTTGCACGAATGTTTTTTGCTAACCATCCAAACTTGTAATGAATGCCCCCATTATGTTATTATTTTGATGGAATTTTTAACCAGATACTCCAACATTTGAACTTTCTCTGGGTGCCAAAATTATGAAGCTATTCATTCAAGTTGCTGAAATTTCGGGGTTCTCGTTCGTAATCCTTCAGCTGATCTTGTTGCAATGCGTGCCTTGCACGGCGCCCTTCATCTTCTCCATGTTTCCTAACTGTGGAGAAATGGCGGACAAGACAAGCTGGATGCTGATGTTGGCCGTACACATTTTCGAGACTTGGATGTGTCTCCAGATGATATTCGGATGTACGGTGTACATATTCTACCTTCTTTGTGCTGGGATAATCTGTATCTTGTTCTACTTCAGGATCATTGAAAAGTAAGGATAGAGGAGAAATACACTCTTGGAAATTCGGTATTAAAATAATACCAAGCGGTATTCATATATGTATTAATGACTCTACCAAAGTGATACTAACAAGTTATACCATGTATGTACACTGCAAATAAACTGGTGTCAATTCCGCGCGGTGTAGTCACATATAGACACCACGCGGTGTTAATTGCCCGTATTAACACCGCGTGGTGTCTATATGTGACTACACCGCGCGGAATTGACACCAGTTTATTTGCAGTGTAGTGACAGCTCGATATTAAAGTTTTACAATATCGGTAGCAAACTTTCACGGACCGGTATAATTTTAGTACCAAGCGGTAGCAATATTAATAGGGAAATATCAATACTTGCGTGACTAGATTCTTAGAATTTTTATGAGGTCGTCAGATTAAATAGATGTGCCAAAAATTCTGTTTTCTAATCTGGAATACCTATGCTAATTTTCTTGAATTAGCAATAACAATCTTTTTTTTTTGAGGAGTTTTATTATTTCTAAAGTCCTTGTTTAAATAATTTAATTACTAAAGTTTGGTTACTACATACACACTTGAACAAAAATATATATTTTTTCCATTATAGTAAAATTTCTACCCTGCAAAGCGACCAAGATACAAAGAAATGCATCAATCTCTATCGGTGTATTCAAATCCTGGAGAAATTCTTCAACGCCTACCCGATGAACAAGGTCATTCCCGTGATGGTTTTTGGCATCCCCACCATGGAAATAATCAGCCTCTTCATCTCCATCAATTTCTACGACAAAATAGCCATGCCTGGTTTCCTGCTATTTCCACTACTCGGATTAAACACGCCGCTGAATAACATTTGTGTCCTGACCATGGCATCGCTAGTCCATAACTCATCCGACAAGATATTGGGCGTTTTAAAGAAGAAAATAATGGGGCTGACGTGTCACAGTGGGCGGAAAAGATCGATAATTAATCGAGAACTGAGAGCCTGTTCAGTCCTGAAGGTTAAGTTTGGATCAAACTACATCGACCGTGGGACACCATTAGTTATACAGAATTTCTGTCTTAATCAAACCATGTCGCTTACGTTGGTCAAGGCAAATAAAATGGCTGGGTGAGGATAAAATGTGGGGATTTTATAAATATATGTATTGCGTAGTTGTTTATGAAACCTAGAATAGTACACTACTACATATTCGTAATTACGTTGGGAAATAGAATCTAATCTGTGATCTTGATCAATTCAGAATAAATACGTAGCTAATGTAAATACATGTATTCTGTATACATTCGCTCTTAAGAATATTGGTTCGGTGGTATGTATGTATAATTAAATGTGCACTCTGAAACCCTTTGGAACAGGAAACACATTCTAAATTCTAGGTGCATCCCCTTAAAGTATCTCCTTAATAAACTAGTTTATTCTTCGTGCTTCCACAAATATGAACGACACCATATCTGTTAAATTCTATTTTGCATTATAAAATTGTGAATAGTATTCCTCACATACATATGTATCATAAATGAACTTTCACTTATTTAGGAAATCTGTACTTAGCAAATAATTTGGTATACGTCAAAATACGTATTTCCCCACTAGAAACCAAAGGTTGTCTATGCAATTTAATTAATTTTTCCAATCACGCAGTTCGGACTGTAACTGACATCACCGCAGTAATTGTGTAGTAAACCATCGCCGATAATAAAGTAGTTTCCGTTGATTTCTTGCAAATATAAAAGTTATGCTGCATCAATCCCCCATAAATTCCGATGGGTTTCGTAGCCCTTATTTTCCGTACGATATACCTCTTAACTTTACACCTCAGTAACAAGTATTTCCACCTGCGCGATAAGTCCTTCGTCCCTTCAAAAATTGCGACCGGAAGCGGCATCATGATCATTGCAATGGTCGGGAGTAGTACGCCAAATGTGGGAAAAATCACATAAAGAGGGAAATGGATGACGCGATACATTTTTTAAGGCAACAAAGTTACACAAAACGGTGCCCAGAAATCTGACAAACATGACCAGCGCGATCATCGGGTTAATAAAGATGTATGATGAAGTAATGGCAATTTCAAAGGCGCTAAATCTAGCGAAATATTCATCTATCGTAAGCCCGCCCCAGAACGTAATACGGATCGATCTTTTCTTTAAGTAAGTTACGCAATTGATTAATAGGTGAAAGGCCAAAGTCATGAAGCAAATTAGCCACGAAAACATCCGCGCCATTTCATAAGATGTCCCCAAAACTGATAAACGTAGCGGGATGGCCGCCAGGTTAAACATAGGGCGCCAATTTGCTTCGTTTATGAGATAAATTTGAATGCAAATGACTGGGTCCAGCTGTAAATAAAGGCAGCATGGGCCAACAATTAAGGGAAGCAAGACGTGCGAGGCGACATGGACGTTCAGCATAATTCCCACTATATCGAAGTGTGATGTTTTATGGGGTGGAGATCCTTCTAGGAAACAAATGGCTTGTCAAATTTGAGATTAATACGCGAGACTTAAAAAAAAACACGTATTCCACATTTACAATGGGGACGCAGTTCATGTTCAACCCAGATTTTTTTAACCAGCACGGTTTAAGAGACCAACCCTGTAGAAACAAAGTTTGCTACGATACTTGCGCGGATGCGAGAAATTTAGAACGTTATGGGCGCTAAAGTTCACAACAAAGGTTTTTTGAGCGGGCTCTAACCGCATTGATGCAGTATTAAATACATATTTCTCATGATTCCACGTGAAAGCGGAGCGTCTTCGCGAACTTGTGGCGCCCAGAGTTTAGCGCATCTGCGCAAGTTCCGCACTAAATGCTATTTGTAAATAATAGGTCTACCAAACTAAGCTGGCAAAAAGAATTCTGGGTTGAAAATGGTGTGCGCCCGCAATGCAAGTTTAATAACTATTAATAAATAAGGCTTGATTTCAGGAAAAATTCGACAAAAATTTACCCAATTTTGTCGCCAGTTTGACAATCCCGTTGAAGGACGAAGCAATATTGTCCGCGTGTTGAAAAACGACTGCGTTCAAGGTGATAATTGAGCCTACGGAGGTGAGGGATAAAGTTGAAATAAAAATCACTTCAAACGGGTAATCGGCAGGGCCAAATATTTGCGAGAGTAGGACTACAACCGAGGCAAGGCCGGTAAATAGTGAAGATGCCATCGTTATGAAAAATGGGATCAGATTTTTCCAAGTTTTGTGACAAATTGCAGTTCGACTAGAAGAATCCCACCCGACTGGATAAATTCCCAGGTGGCGAGGATAAACTTTCACCCAGGTATCGAGAGACTTCCACATTAGCGATGTGATTGCCATGGTGGATTTCTAGTTACTACGGCCGAATAGAAAATGAGTTGGTCGAGTATGATTGAATTATGTCCAATCATTTGATAGAGTTGGATTAAACTATTTATTTTTCAACAAAAATTGAATTGTGATTCATATCATGGAGCAAATTATCTTGGCAACCTTCGCAGTACCTGAGGCAATTTATTTTGGTGTCTAAATAAATAATGTAAATAAATCATGTAAATATGTATGTGGGTTACAGGCCATCCCAATTTCCTTCACCGTTAACCTGGAGTTCTTTGTTTGATAAGTTTTTTGTGACTATGTAAGTCAGAAATCGATAAGCTATAAATAATACAAAATACTTACACAATTTTTTCTCTGTTGTCGTGACTCTCTTTTCAGGTCCAAATATCTAAATGAGGCGATATTGACGCAGGCGAATTGACATTTTAATCCAATAATGTCAATTACACTTTAATTAGTTAATCATTAATACATATACATACACGAGGCCTGGAAAAATTTGGGTTCCTGCAAATGCTTACTGTCGAATTTGTTCAGCCGGTCACATCATTTACATTTTTTTTACGCATTAACGAGAGATATATTATCCCGATCGATAAGTACGACCTATGGCAATTTGATTATTGTATCATTTACCTGTTTAATCCAATTATGCACAACTTCGTGTGTTTGGATTTGGACAATTTGGACTTGCGGAGAGATATCAACAAACAATTTCCCTTATATACGGGTGGGTATCACATAATCTTGGTTTTTCCGCTCTTATCACATAAACTAGAGATTTTTATTGTATGTAAAACATACATAGGTAGCTTCTATTGCGAACTAAATTCATGTTCAAGCCCGATTACTTCTTGACTACCTCAGTTTGATAGGCTAAAACTTTTCAAATAACATTTAGTGCAAAACTTGCACAGATGCGGAAAACTCAGAACGTTATTAGCGCCGCAAGAGCAAGATAGAACATTCGGTTACATACATACATATGTCAAACATGTACGCAAATGTACGTAGGTATACGCTTATAAAAATTGATATGTGATATGTTACACAGGAATTTTATAGAAAGCAGATTGGGATCTGGGACCAGCGGCTGTGAAACTTGGATTTTAAGGGATTTTTTCTGAGTTCTTATCGAAAAGCCATAGAAATGTGAAGGATTCATTCATATTTCCTGAGCAAAACTTCTATTTGGCGACATGGAGCTACACTGAAACATATGTACATACTTACGACTAGCTGCAACCCGTCTTAATATTCGAAATTTCATAACTGCAGCAATTGAAATTTTCGGGCATAAAAGAAAGTTAGAAATTTAATTTCCCTTGAAGTTCTTTAGCATTTGCTGACAAAGACATTATGATTGAATTCCATAGGATTGGTACAACCTGTGTATAACTTCGGTTATGAATTAAAATCTAAAATTGTTACATTAGCAATACTACTTACTTACTACTCACGACCGTTTAAGATGAAATAAACAAAATCTTAATTACTTTTTTCTACTTCATGACAGCGGTACATGTGCAGTAATAACATGTCACTTTTTTCAATCACATAAAATTCCAAACTTAATTCGAAACTAAGCAGAATCCTTATTTTTCGATTGATCTAATTATTTTATTTCAAGGAGAATAACATGTTTTGTCAAACTTGAGATTACGAGCAGCAAAATTAAAAGAGATGTTATCAAAGCCTTCATGCATAAATTACAAGTGCGTGACATCGATCGATTGAGCCTGAAACATATTCCTAGCACGTCTTGTCGTATAATCAATCAGTTTGTTGTGGTCCACGCGCTGGTAATTTAAAAATCTGACTTTGAGGAGTTACCTCTGTTTGCTGAATAGCATCGACAGCTCAGTATGTATATAAGCCGGACAAAAACAAGTACATAATCCACGAAATTAAACAGATAACTCGTCAGAAAGAGAAGGCTTAATCTAGAAGGTAAATGAGTACATAAAGGAACGTATGAATACGATGTCACTTAAGTTTGAGAAAAAACAACCGCGTGCTGACACATGTTTCATGAATTGCAAATGGTGACATCCTTTATGTAGATTACATATGTACTACTGATTAAATAAGCTTGGCTGAACCATAACAATATTCCGAAGTTTTATCAAGTGTTTTCATCACGCGATAATTAAATCGCATTCCTTGGTGAGTGTTATTCATGTATGTCTGCATAAGGACTTTATGTGCAGAATGAGCTATCTTATCAGGGAATATTCTTCCTAGTATAAATTTGACTTCCTTTTTGAATGGTAACGAATTTTGTAGCAATTCCTTCTTCACACCCACCCAACCATCAATATGTATTCCACCCAATTTCTCCCCTTAGTAATTCACCATTTCAAATTCTCCTACCTAATTCGAAGCGTTCCTTTCGACTTTGATGCCAAATCGGGGAAACTTGTTCTCATCAAGGAACGAAAGCGCATCTTAGCCACTCAGGTCCAATCCATCCTGTCCCTGATGTACATTATTGTTCTGTCGTACCATTTTATCCTTGGTAAGCTTCCTATGCTGAAAATGCTCCAAGGATTTCCGTTCCTACTATCGTACATGCTATTACTTTCCACCGGATGGAATGTAGGACTGGACATTGCCCCGATACAAATGATAAACTCGATCCTCAACTTTGAAAAAGACCTCCTTAAAGGTATTGGCAATTCTGGTTGCAGGTATTCCGCAGGTACACTACAAATTTGGTTTTTTACCGTTCACAGATGGCGAAAGTATCAAAACGTCTCTGGAATCAAAGGTGATGGGGCTCTTCGTTTACTTGACGGAGTTCACTATAATTGTCGCGCCACTTGCGGTGGTCCTATTGATCATGATGGACCCTTGCATTCCCCCTTTCCTTTTATCTATGTCTCATCGCTGCACCAATATCTCGTGGATGTCA